TTAAGGAAGGTGTCTGTACACCCACATGGGTCAGAGGGATTATGGGACAAGGGCGTGGTGACCTGAAGCAAGCCGGTGGATTATTGGCCCTAAGTGGGTCAATCGTCCCAGACTGCACAAGGTTCAGCAGAGGGATGGTCATCTCTCACACAAATGTCTCCCCAAATATCTCACTAGTGCTCTCTTCAATAACCATAATTCACTGACATGAGAAGAGCTCATTGTTATTTCTGCTCTGGTAATGGCCTTCGCTCATGTGAAACCAGCACTGACGCTGAGCTTATCCCTCCCTGTGGGGGTTTTCTAATGTCACCGTGCACTTAGCTTTTATTGAGAGGACACTTGGTGGAATTACATCTGAAAGGTGAAGGTTTAACTGATGTGTTGACCTTCTGTTTGCACCATTCATCTGTCTTTTGGTTTACTCATCATAAAAAGTGTAATTCTGGTAGACAAACAGGACATTATATTAGGGATGCACCGATCAGGTTTTTTGCTGCCGATCACCGATACCGATATCAAAGAATGCTGATCACCGATACCGATCACTGATACCGATCACGTGGATTGGCCAGAAATTTTCTACAACATCATAATGAGTGCTACAAACTACATAATCTGGGAATAAAGGAAATGTAACCTAATCTAAAATGGTCTGGCTGATCGGTCTGCTTTGATCTATTTTGAAAACTCCGATCAAAACCGATAGGGGCGCTATCGGCCGATTGGGATCAAATGCCGATTCATTGGTGCATCCCTACATTATATACACAATCCAGAACACCGACCACAGCTAGAAATAATCAGGTTTTGCACTTAACATCACATTTATGAATCTCTGCTCACTGGCTTAAGGGAATCAACACACAAGTTACATAAGAAAAAGCCCCAAAACAACATCTCAGCCCAAATATGGGCTTATTTAACATTTGAAACATCAAGTTGAATCAACGCAGCTGACTATTGCAATGCTCCTTTCTAATTACATTAGGTTTGGTATGTTTAAGAGCCTCTGCTGAATGAGGCCTTTGCTTCTTTCCAGGCTGCCTGCAGAGGCCATGCACACTGGGTAATCAATTTGCAGCTTCTCTGCCTGCGCCCAATCCTCGACAAGCCTCTGTGCATTGTTGAAAGGCGCGATGGTGAGGGGGAGACGGCATATCCTGCTCTTTCTCCAAAGCTCCACCATTCTCTGAGCCGTTTATACATGCACATAGACGGACACATGTCCTTGGGTAAACCACAACAGGAAGGAACGTCTTGGCCTTCTTTCGTGTGTCTGCCAACACCTACAAGCTGACCAAGCAACTTAATGAAGCATACCATTTCTTCTAGACAGAGTTCAGTTCTATTTAAATCCTAAAACCACTTAAACAGAACAAGTATGACTTCTTTATGAAATGCAGATCTATTGGTTGATAAGAACTATCCAACTACAACTGTATGTCTCAACGATGCATTTGGAAAATTAGAGGTGACAACGCCAACATTGCCAACCAAACAAATGGTATTTTTCCCAAAAAATTAAAGTTTACAAGTTGATCAATACATAAGTGCTTTCATTTCAGGGATAAATAAGATCAGTAACACTAGGAGAGTATTTATGTCATTTCCTATACTCATTCATTAAGTCTATTGGTTTTCCTCCTTTCCATCTTGATTGCTTAATTTTACATTTGTGTATTTTATGGTTCTAATTGCAGTGTTTGGTTTTTATTCTGCTCTTTTTAATTGAACTTCTATGTGATTATTTAGCTTGTTTGTTTTTGAATGTGCAGCACTTTGGTCAGCTCTATTGATGTGTTCAATGTGCTAAAAGTGCTCAACACATAAAATGGTATGGGGTGGTATGGTATGGTATTCCTTCCCAAAAAAGAAAGCAAGGGTAAGCCATAAAAGAGGCTGTCCTTTTACATCTTCAGTCTCACTTGCAAAATGCAAAAGTTAAATTAAATGTCGAGCAATCCTTGAAGGTTTGCTAACCAGACACCACTTTTAATACCAGTTTGAAACTAAGATCATCTTGAGAAGTTATCAAAGGTATAGCAAAGATACTCTTCTTCCGGGTGGATCATCTGAACCACTGGTCCGCTTAACTGTCAATCATTCTAGTGAACCATTCACGCAAGGCCATCGTCGTACGTTGTTAGGTAGTTTTCACTTCCTGCGCATGTGCAAAGCGAAGTTTGGGCTTCCCACAGACGGCTCTGTCGCCGGTGTTTTGCTCGACAGAACATTTCGATATGGCAATATATCGCAATATTTTTTCCTGCTATATTACATCAATATTTAAAAGCCATGTATCAATTTTTTGGGAATAATTTACATGTAAACATTTTTTTCTTTTCTTTTGGAGCTATTCAAACGCAGACCGCTAGTTGGCAGCATTGTGCAATGGGTTTTGTTTCAACCATTGAAATGTAAATCCCTCTATTATGGTTCTGATACCTCATGTTAAACATGTTATGTGTATCAGTTTGGACTGTTTATTGAAATTTTCTACAATAATTTCAGTCTAATAAAATTGCTATTATCGTCTGGCTGAATGTATCACAATATATTGTGATATATCGTATTGTCTCCCTGTATCGTGATACACATCGTATCGCCAGAATTTCACCAATACACGTCCCTACTAATTGCTATTGGTTGTGGTGTCTAAGATTAGGAGTGAGTCTAAAAATTAAATCAGCTGTAAATGTATGTAAGGATTCGTCAGATATTTTCCTAACAAACAGAGACAAAAACATGGTTGCTCACCTAACAGCAATGGTCAAGGTTACATGATGTTCTACAGTCTCCAACACATTGGCTGACTGTTACATCAGTTCAGCATCTAAATCTAACCCAAGAAAAGAAGCTGATGAAGATGTGCTTTCCAGTAACTATAATCCCAAGATAACCCATGCAACTGTTGGGTCCAAATGCAACCATGGCTATAAAATAATAATAATAATAATATTTGGATTTATATAGCACTTTTCAAGACAAGACCCAAAGCACTTTCTACTATTTATGCACTCTCACATTCACACACTGATGTTCTATAGAGAACAATAAAAGAAGCAAACTAGGAAAAAATGAATCATTGTCCAGCTGGCCCACTTTATGAATATTCCTTTATGTCATTTGAGCTTGCTCATTTTTTTCCTCTGACAGTCATTAACAGCTCGTTTATCATGTGATCATAGGATTTTTCCTTCAGTGGAAACAATCTGTAAGGTTTCCCCCATCTCCTCTCTTCTGATCATACATTCTCTTTTCCATTTGGATTTTTCTCACACTCCTACCACTAGTTTAGTTCAAACTTAAGGACAATCCTATAAAGAACTATATATGCTGATCTTGTAAGTTTACCTGATTTTGCATAAGTTTTGGCAGCTTTACATGTCAGATAATTAAAGGGTAACCGAGTTCAGTAAATATGATGATGGAATAAATGAGTAAGCGTTTACAGAGCAGACAGGATTTCCTCAATGCATGTCAAATAATGTCAACCGTGAGTCCTCCTCCACGTCTGACCCACCAGGTGCTGTTAAACCTCTCGCCATTCTAATAAGACAGTATTCTCAGCATACCATCTGCAATGAAGTCCTGATGAAGGCAGAGTATGGCAGCTTGCCAGCCTCCCTTTCTGTTCAGCAATCTGCCTGTGTAATGGGAGGTAGAGTAGGCTGTGCAGCAGCCTTACACACTCGCTGGTTAACACCCCCACTCTCAAAAAAAAAAAAGAAAAAACACTGCATATGCCACTGCAGTTCTGCCACAAACCACAAGTCACCCGTAAGCTCCTTGGGGTGACATTGGCATAATGAAAACCCAAGGATATGGAGTGAAAGTAGTGGGGATTTAACACAAAGCTTCTCTTTGGTGGAGTGTGAGAGATAAAAAACAAGTGAGCCATATCTAGGAGGGACACTTGATCTCAGAGAAGATTCACATAGGTTTTAGACTAATGAGGCTGGTAAGACTGACAGACAAGAGACTTGAAGAAAGTCAGAGAGCCTGCTGAAGGAACAGATCTCCTCTGTCACAAGCTGTCTTGTTACTGGATCATTAAATGCTTCTGCTAATGTCAGGGAGGCTGTGTTCATCTGCTGGCTGGAATGGGACAGACAGCACAATCACGAGTAAAGAAGCAGATAACTGTGATGACTCATAGTCACAAGTAAACAAGTTGAATCACATGACTACAAAATATATTAGAATATATTCTTCACCTGTTTAGCTATTAACACAGTTAAGCTAAACATCTTTACATATTAAACCATTCATCGTTGTGCACAGTCCTTTAAATAAAAACCTTTTATATCGCTGCAAATCAAAACCAATTATTATGTTTACTTTGTTTCTGTGTTTTTGTTTGTTCATTACCTTTAAAGAACTATTAAGTAATGATGCAACTCTGATTTCACACATCCTGCACACACAGCAGCCTAAAAGCAAAATAAAAGCTTTGGCATCTATTCAACAACCCTAGCACAGCGACATAAGAAACTAATTAGTATAGCTGCAGAGAAAAGGGTTTAGCAAGTAAATGAATAACTTTCCATTATAAAATTTTATTTTGCTTTTTAACAAGCGCTACACAAAATGTTTGTGTAAACGCAAAGGTAATTTTGCCATAAAATACACAGAGAGCCACATATCCATGACAAAATGCTGAATAAGGCTAGATGAATGTGGGGGCATTTACAGGTTAGACTGTGTGATGACCCCTAAGTCACCAAACGAGTCTTTCACACACAAACTCCTCATGCATGCAGGGCCCTTCAGAGGAGGGGGAATTTCACCCTGGGGGCCTTTATTGTCCTTCGGGCTGTTTGTCCCCAACTGTCCACTATTCGCTTCTTTTTGCAAAGACCCACGAAGGGGAGACCAGGTGGGCTGATGTATGGTACACCAAACTTTCTTTAGCAGACTGAACATCAGATTGTGTGTGTGTGTGCGTGCGTGCGTGTGTTCATTCTGCATGTCAGAGGGTTGCACGCCAGACTTACTTGTAGTGTTGCCCTGCATCTGAATGATACATTTGGACTCTTTGCCTATTTCTCTGGAGTTGAAGGGCCGAACTCGCACGGCGACTTTCACGGACGCCCCAGACATGTTTGCTTTTCAGGATCGTCTCCCTGTGAGATTTTTTGTATATCGCCCCTAAAGGACACAGGAAACACAGAAGATGCCCGATTTGATATATAGAATATCCATCTTTGTGTTTTCCTTCGGAATGCAAAAAACAAAAAAAGTCAAACAGTCAAGATGCCATCCAGACATAATAATAAACAACAAATATGGCCAACCTACACCACTGAAGCCTTTGATGAATGCAAACTGCTTTTTATCAAACCTTTAACGGGTAAATAAAGTAAAACTGCACTTTATTCTGCAAACCAGATGGCTAAATAATAACCATCTCCACCGTTATTGTTATTGTGTTTAATAATGTTAACTACATTAAAATCTCTTGTGTTTGTTGGGGATTTAAGCTTTAGCTCCTGGTGACAAGAGTGACTACATAACCTAAATATCTATGTTTTTTTCCTCTACATTCATACAGTCAGCCATACTCGCTGAAGCATACGCCCATGATGAAATTCTATCTTCCCTTTTGGTGTGGGCTACAGTAGGACAGCGAGCCAGGCCCGTCTGCTACATCTAACTTCCTCATCCTGTGCATAAAAACAGCTCATATGTCTGATTCGGATCATTCAAATAGCCGATGTTAAGAAGAGCACTAATCCTGCCCTTCTGGGTGTTGTGGAACAGGCCAGCAATGAGTTGCATGCCTGAGATTGCTGCACAAAATTAACACATTGTTCACATTTACACCGAACGGAAAAGGAGAAAGACTGATTATTAAATTCCAATAGGAGTTTTGAATTGATTTTCATTGGATGACTTTACGACGTGAAGGCTCGTGACAGTTGGTTCAGTACTGGCGCGAGACAGAAGCAACCATAAGTGTTAAAATGCATCCATCATTAGAAAATATATATACATATATTAATGCTCATAAACTAGCAAGACCACATATTTTACAAATACACGTAATTATTAAGCTATCGGAACCATTGCGGCGTAAATAATTAGGTCGGACAAGAACGTCAGCTACACACAGCTGTTCAACAGCAAATATGAGTCATTACCAATAGTTATTGTATTAAATATATGTGTATTTTTTATATCTTTTTATACTCACGCTTGAAGACTCTCACTGATACGGGACCACCCCGGACAGTCAGTGGCGTGAACTAAACGTTAGCTTGCGGGCGACAAGATGTGTTTTTAATCAGATTCTGCACGAACGTAAACAGCCACAAACTCCATTTCCGTGAAAAACACCCATCATAGCGGCATCCTCCACCGAAGAGACGTATAAACGGAAACGGCGACTCCTAAACTAGCTTTTTTCCAGCAGAGACAGTCAGTGGACGCCTTTCTGCACCAGAGCGAAAATGGAAATCGATGGATCGCCTTGATTTACTGAAGAGATTACGTCAACGCTCACTCAGCGTGCTGATTGACAGGCGGACAGACCAATGAAAGAAGAGATGTGGTAAACTGACACATTGACTACCCAATGGGGAGCTTCTACGTCAGGAGCTGAAGTGAGTAGGTGGAGTTTATTTTCGTTCTTTCGGTCGTGACGCCACACTGCAGGATTTCTGCCCACCGCTCCCCGCACCGCTGTCACCGCAACACGAGGGTCACCGCAAACAGCGTCCCCTAGCGAGAAATTGACATAAAGTAGGGGATAGTGGTTTTATATCAGATGGGTGTTGTACAAAACTCAAATCAAATGCTGAGAGGGTTTTTACATGGTTGAAGACAAATTATAACAAAGTGATGTAAAAAAAAACATCTTTAAATTATATCACAGCAACAAGAAGACGCAAAAAACAGCCCAGACAACACAAAAAATTATAACATGAGTTAACATGTGCATGATAAATAAAATATTAGATACACAATGCCAGATTTACTTTTTCAACGTTTTATAAATCAACCATTACAAAATGTGTTTGACACCAATCTTCAGCAACACGTTTAATGGTTTCACTTTTTTTATTGTGAGCAACATTTTAAACATTTGGATTTCAGGATACACCTCTATTCTCTCTAACAAGACACTCTGCACGTGAGAAATTAACTTTTAAGGAGTCTAATTATTTATGAGGTCCTTCACTCATGTTTTTAATACATTTGCAGTGGTCTACAGAAGCTTTGTGGCTTGTCAACATGTTGATTGGCATATTGCAGTCTGGCTTTTTTATGGTTGGTTTTCAACAATCTTCCTTTGTTGCCTCCCAACAGATGATGCAATCTGACACCGATGTTCCTTGAAGTTCACCGTGGATCTCTTTAGAAGTTTTTCTGGGTTTTTTGTTACAATTTAGATTACCCATCTCTCTGTCATCAGTTTTCCTGCAGCATGAGAACACAACTGTTGTGTCTGCCTATGGTTATTCTACCCCAAGTTCAATCTCGTAGGTAATATAACTTCAAAGCCCTGGTTTCCAAAAGAAGCATGTTATTTTCTGCACAGATAATGAATGGCACCAGGACCACGCTGAGTAAAATGATATACAAATAAACATAACGTGTTGTCGATGGTGTTTCTGGGTTTTATTTTGTGTTCTTACCAACTTTCATATAAAATGATAACTAATTTGAGGTCAGTAAAATTATAAAACGCTTATCTGAACACAGTTTACTCTATCGACAGCTCATTTCCTGTAAGTACATTTACTTTTGAAATGAGATGAGGTTATAAAATAGATTCTTAATAGTTGCAGCTATCTAAGCAAAACAAAACCTGTAAAGATATAAGATTAACAGACCTCCCTGCTAATCCTGCTGGCAACATTGTAAAATTTCAATGCATGAACCAAACATTGAGTAAATCTTCTTTTGATGTGCATACAGAAACTCGAGGGAGAGAGAGAAAACTTAAAAGTCTTAACTTTATTATGTTTTGCGTTTAGAACCATGACAATGGTTGGAGACAAAAAAGGGTAAATGCAAATAAAAACCCAATCAGATCTCCTTTAATTCCCCCAATTCCAAAGCTGTTCTCGTTGATAGCAGTGATACTGAACTCAGGCGATTTGGACAGATCCCTTCATGATGATAAGCGGGACAGACGCCAGCGACATGGTCCTCAGATCGGCCGTCCACCCTGCTTATCTCTCATCCAGGCGTGGATTCTCTCCTTCAGTTCAGGTACTGAAACAAAATGACACTGTGAGAAGCAGCTGAAGAACAAACAAGCTAGCAGGAAGTGAATTAATTTGAAAGCACCCGCCTAAAAATTTTATTAAAAAATTTTGCTGTTCTTTGACAGAAATGAATGATTGTTCCATAAGGTCCTTACTTTTCATGTGCTGAGAATAAATCATGATGGTGTTACCTGGCTCCAGCATGCTCTCTGTGAGCGGCTGCCTGTTGAAGGGGTCAGTGGGGGAGTTGAGCAGGTGGCGCAATATAATGGATCTGTCCATAATGTTCCCCGAAGGCAGCATGACAGGGTCAGTCATCAGTGTGTCCATCAAAGGGTCTGTAGTAACACATGATTTTGGACTGGATTAGAACAGAAACACAGCAGATTAAAAACAAATAATCCAGAAATGTCAGCATGAATTCATCCCCGGGAATGGAGCTGGGAAAGGGGTCATCTGTTCTATGACAGCAATGTTAGCGCAGCTATAAAAACACACAAACAAAAACTCCAATAAAAACTTGTGAGGAGGACTTCATCAAGTGTGTGTGCACTATATATTGAAATGTCACAAGGTTGTTAAAGTGGAACTTGTACGTCACAAAAATAAAACGTGCTGTGTGATATTGTAACCACACCGACAGCTGATCCTCCAGCCTCCTGTACGGCACACTCCCTTCAACTGCGGTGGGCTGGCAGGCCCATGTGAAAATCAAAGGTGGTATGCAGACCGCATTCTCTTCCTGGATTAGATTAAGTCTGTGGTTACAGGATCGCCCTGCTCTAAGCTCTCTGTATGATCTGTATGAGCTGCGAAACCTGCTGCAAATGTCTGGAATCCACCGACGATCCTGTCTGTCAGTGACTGACCTGGGGTGACACTGAGGTACCCACTTTAGTAAAACACTAGATTAGTTTAGTTTACCTTTCATTTCTCTCATCTTATTTATAAATGATCAGTTTGATTTAAAATGATCCGTTTTTGAAGTATAGACCACAGTTAGTGTTATACAGATTTTTGTTCATTTACTGGTATTGCATAGCTCTTGAATCAGACTTGGTGACTTTTTATGAGCAAAAAAGTTGGTATTTAAACCTGGGCTGTTTTCATTCTGTAGGAGAGAGAGAGAGGATGCCGTGCTTTTGCAAACTTAAAGTGTTATAACACACCAAAAAATCCTCCAAGCAAACAAACGAACCTTTGAACTCATCAGGTGCGTCGCTGTAGTCCATTTCAGACTGGGAGTTCTTAGCGACTATTTCTTCCACCTTCTCTGATAGCAGCTTGAATTTCTCAATGGCAATAGAGGACTTAATACCAGCCTTCTTCATCTTAGAGATCACCTCCTCAAAAAGTTCACGGCTGTATGATCGCTGAAAAAAGAAAGAAATAATAATTTGGGGTGAGTCCTCAGTATTTTATTTTTAACATAAAACCACTAATATGAAGATAAAAACCTGTAAAAGAGGTTGATGAATCAATGCAGCACTGCTTCTTTATACATTTGTTATTAAATGTAAATCTAAAACTTTGTTTTATTAATACAAATTATTAAACCAATTCACAAAAATGTTATTTAACCACTGGTGGAAAAGCCTAAAACTGAATTAAGGTGTTAGTCACCAATTTACTGTAGATAGAAATCCTAAAAGTGTGGATTTGTTGAATATGATCAGTTAAGAGCTGAGTGTTTGTGTTTTTTAGGTGAAACATTTCCTCCTCGGCTCTCAGTGCAAACCTGATCATCTGCAATCGCTTTTGCAAAGCGGGCACAGTCTAGC